ATATTGGTGTGAGGAAGTGTGAGCACCATAGGTGGTATTTATAGGTTAAGGGTGAAGTGTCTGTTGTGTAAAGTAAACCCCATGGATATGAATTGAATATTTTAGTCAAAGAAAGCCACCTCCGCAAGGAATTTTCTAATAGAATGTTCTGAAACACATGTCCACGTACACAGTCCATTCTGATTGGCTAGTAATATATCATATTGGACGTATACAACACAACTGGTGTGCTGCTGATTCTGCTGACTGCTGACTCAATAATATCCTTATTCATTCAATTGAAAAATCTAAAGTTCTTTTCACTTTCATTTTCAAAGTCTAAAGTCTTTGATATACAGCTGAGATTTCACACAGCCTGACCTTCAGCCTCAATCTATAAATAGCATCTCCAGTTCTCACATTTTCCAGCATCAAATATCATCCCTGCCAATTATCTAATCCTTTCACACTTTCATTCTTTCTTTGATCATTTTCTAAGCTCTAAAATCATCATCTTCATCATGGGTGTCTTCACATACGCAGACGAGTCCACCTCAGTCATCCCCCCACCAAGATTGTTCAAAGCCCTTGTTCTTGAAGCAGACACCCTCATCCCCAAGATTGCTCCCCAATCAGTGAAAAGTGCTGAAATTGTTGAAGGAGATGGAGGTGTTGGAACCATCAAGAAGATTAACTTTGGTGAAGGTTGGTTTCTGCCATTGCCTCTTCTGAGTCTAACTTGTTTGCTTAATTAATAACATAAATCTTGAAAGCATTAATCTCTTAATTTCTAATTTTACAGGAAGTCATTACAGCTATGTGAAGCACCGGATCGACGGGCTTGACAAAGATAACTTTGTGTACAGCTACAGTTTGGTTGAAGGAGATGCTCTTTCAGACAAGGTTGAGAAAATCAGTTATGAGATTAAGTTGGTGGCATCTGCTGATGGAGGTTCCATTATAAAGAGCAGCAGCAACTACCACACCACAGGTGATGTTGAGATCAAGGAAGAGGATGTTAAGGCTGGCAAAGAGAAGGCAACTGGTCTGTTCAAGCTTATTGAGAACTACCTTGTGGCCAACCCAGATGCCTACAACTAAAATCTTAACTGATATATACTGCATGTGCTTTCTCTGTCATTTTATTGGTGTGGCTTTCATTTTGCCCTTCTTTTTTTTTGGCTATCAAGCCAGAGCTGCTTTGGCTTGCACCTAAGGCTATGATAAATTGTAATGTTTCTATTTGATTTGATTCTAAATAAATAAAGCAAAAATCAGTTGCTGGTCTTTACAAATTTGGTCTGCAGTATCTTTTTTCTTCAATTTCGTGAATTTCAATCTTTTTTTTATGATGAAAATTTAACTTATGTGTCATTGGATTAATCCAATGGTCTTTATTAAATAGGACCTCACACGACCTCATCTTTAGGTCCTTAGGTGAGTGAGACTGTGTACAGAATTTGGGTTACCTCCATATGTGACTCCCTTATGGGCTTAAGCACATCCCCATCGACTCCTCCACGAGGCATGCATATCATGACTAGTCTTCGCAAGGCATATATAATGTGGGTCATGTCTTTGTTCTCCACTTTAGTGCGCTCTAAACCTGTCTATTATTAGAAATATTTCTAGAACATTGCACACAAATGATTAGTGGATCTCATCTCAAAGTTGTCACTACAACTGAAATCATGATCGCATATCTAAGTTGTCACTATATCCTCTCAATTCTCAATATGACCCTTTAAGAGAATAAAAAGTCTCCACCAAAATTTGTTGAAGAATACACAAGTCCCATATCGGAAACTTAAAAAAATAGAAAGTCCCATATAATAAATTGTTCTATTTCTAATAACATTGAGGCCTTTTGTATAAAACCCCACACCTACTAAACAAGTAGTTAAGTTGGGGACAATATCGATGTTGTTAGTGGTGGGCCAAGGGTCCGTCCCTCTGAAATCTTAACATGGTATATCAGAGCCTAGTTCAGTTGACTGGGCCGGATTAAACCCAAATCAAACAAACTCAAATCAAACAAAAACCCCAAATTGAATCAAAATCAAACAAACCCCAAATTAAAAAAAATTTCAAAAATAAAGAAAAAAAGTGACTTATGTGGAATTGGTTGCACGTGTGGCCCACTAAAAAGTGGTCTCACATGAGGAGGAGTGTTGAAGAATACACAAGTCCCACATCAGAAACTTAACAAAATAGAAAGTCCCATAAAATAAATGGTTCTATTCCTAATAATATCGAGGCCTTTTGTATAAAACCTCACACTTACTAAACATGTGGTTAAGTTGGGGACAATATCGATCTTGTTAGTGGTGGGCCAAGGGTCCGTCCCTCTGAAATCTTAACATGGTATCATAGCCTAGTTCGGTTGACTGGGCCCGATTAAACCCAAATCAAACAAACTCAAATCAAACAAAAAACCCCAAACTGAATCAAAATCAAACAAACCCCAAATTTAAAAAAAAAGAAAAAAGTGACTGATGTGGAATTGGTTGCACGTTTGGCCCACTAAAAAGTGGTCTCACGTGAGGAGGAGTGTTGAAGAATACACAAGTCCCACATCAGAAACTTAATAAAATAGAAATTCCCATATAATAAATGGTTCTATTCCTATTAACATGGAGGCCTTTTGTATAAAACCTCACACCTGCTAAATAGGTGGTTAAGTTGGGGACAATATCGATGTTGTTAGTGGTGGGCAAAGGATCCGTCCCTCTAAAATCTTAACAAAATTCTATACCAAGATCATCATTAGTTGCACACACTTTCATATAAAAAAATGAAGACAAATTAGTGTCATAATAAAATTTCATAATATAAGAAAACTTCACACCAACGCAACAAGAAGTTCGCCAAAAAATACTTATTTAACAATTACTTGAAGGTAATATCAAGGTCATGAATATAAAGCACCCCCACATTTAAAATATGTAAAGCAAATCCATTTATGTTTCCAATGTTGACCACAAAAGTAAAAAATAATAATAATGAATAAAAGGTTCTTAGGACGATAAACCCCACAAAGTTAAGGGAATCATCAACCCCCATTAGTTGAGGAAATGGTCGAAGTATATTTCATAAGATTGGCAATAATACCTCAAATGGTTTACTGGTTGAAAGCCCTACACCAAAATTCAAAACTAAATGCCACTTACGAAATTTAAAATTTAATTATCATTTTGTTTGAGTCTTCTCGCTGTACACTTCATGACAATTAACTCAGTGCGACTGCTGTCAATGCTTTACAATCAGGAAAACATTAGTTCACTCAATTTAACTAGTGAGCTTAAGATTGCAAAATTCAAAGTAAAAGAAATAAAGGATTCTGTAGAATTTAACTGGTCATATACTATATTGCCATTTTAGAGCGATGGAGGTAGAGATCATTTATCTTGATCTTCATAGCCACTGTTAAACAAATTAACTTGCTGTAGCAATCAAGTGTTTACCTATTTGCATAACCAACGAAAAAGCTTATGCCAACAAGTTTTATTTTGAAATCAAGTTTTATTAAAAATAGTTTGGAAATCAAATCTGTAGAAAATGAAATCAAAACAATTGAAGCAATCAATATGAAGTTTTAAAACCTTCAGCTTAAAATCAATAATAAAACTATATTAATTGTCTCATTTAAATACCAGTGGAAAGCTTCTACAACAGAAGTTATAAAACCAATTACTCAAAACTGAAACTGTCACAATCTGGGTAATTAAATACAACATAAATATGTAATGAAAATTTGAAAATATATATAGGCATAAGCACAAAATAGAATTGTCAAATTTAATTTCTCCATGAATGTGAAAAGATATCATTCTCAATAAATTGAGGCTGGTTCCAAAAATGTCAGCCAACTAGCTAATGCTTTTATGGTTGTTGGCTGTTTCAAAATTAATTTTAAAACAATAACAATAGCAATAAAATCTCATAAACTTTTATTTTGCCACATAAATATCTATAAGATTATCAAAATATTAAAGGCTTCTTAGATCTAGGCTCAAAATATTAAAGGCTTCTTAGATAAGGCAAACACATTGAAAATCTAAATATAATGCATTATTTCCTTATAATTGAATTTCAAATTTTAAATTTTGAATTCTTTCATTGATAATATTCCTAATGTATGGATAAAATATAATTTAATGAATAAAAAGTAGAGACCCACATATTATACCAGTCGATCAGACAAGTACCAACATTAAATTATGTACCTGACACAGGTACATAATGTTATTATTGGCAATGAAAAAAAATTAGTGATAAATCATGTTACCTATAAGTTAGGAACATAAATTAGAAGACTAACTATAATTTAGGAACATTACAAAAATAGACAAAATAAAATTGTATGTTACCTATTTAAAAAAAAAGGTACAGAAAATACTATTATACATTGTCGAAAATATGGAAAAATAAAAAAACATATATATACCTATGCAATAGGCAATATGACATAAATGACTACTACCCGATTCAAGTTGTAAGGGGCAATATTGGAACAAAAAATTGATTTTAAAAATAAAATAATTAAAATATTATATCATAAAATATTAAGAAAAAAGAATGTAATTCTATGTGGCACAAAAATCAAAAGACTTGTATTAAAGTCACTAAATTCAAGGATTAAACTCAACTACTCAATAGAAATTTGGATCTATATCAACTTTTAAAGCTAGTTGATAACATTCTATTAAATTTTTTATGGTCTTTTTAAATAAATTATTTTACTAAAAAATTGACCTTCCACTTTGTAACATTCTATATCAACCTTTTCCCAATTTATATATGTAATGTAATGTAATGTTCTGCAGACTCTACGAAAATCTTCTGGTTCCCTGGTTTTTCCCTTGTGTAACAAGTGTCCCCTCCTTTTGCCCTTTCTCGACGCTTTGGCTCTTCAAAAAGGGAAGCAAAACGTTAACCATAGTCGTACTGACACAGAAGACCCACTCTGCTTCCTCCTCGTAAAGAACCAACCCACTCTGCGTCCTCCACACAGACCAATCATGGATGATCGAACTGACCCAGACGACCTCCACACCATTCTCTCCGAGCAACGCAGAGACCTTATGGCCGCCAAAACTCTAGACTCCGACCTCGACATGGCCTTCAAGCTCCAAATGCAGGAGGCCATGGCCGCCTCTCTCGCTCTCAATCCCTCGTTGGCCTCGAGTTCGAGTTCGCGCAACTCTCCGCCTCCTTCATCGCCCCACGACGCCATTTTAGACCTCGCCGCCACGCTCATGCTCGAGGACGTCGAGAGATTCGCGCAGGAGTGGGAGGACCACGAGCGCACCGTTTCGGAGATGATGAAGACGACGGAAGATCTCAACCGTCGAATTCACGATCAGAAGTTCGCCGCCGACCTCCGCGACGTGCCAGACGACTACTGGGCCAAGCACGGCGACCATTACGAGCGTCCGTACTGTGCGGACGAATCGTCGTCGTCATCGTCGACAAAAGCTGCGGCGGTGGAGACTGAGAATTTGAGGTTGTATTGCAAGGGTTTGGTGAGCGAGGAGAGGGTTAGGGATGTGAAGGTGGTGGTGGCTGGGGCAGGTGTCGCGATTTGTGACCCGAGAGACAATCTGATATTCGAGGCGAGGAAGAATCTAGAGGCGGTGGCTGATGGTGTGGTGTTGAGCAATGAGGCTGCGGAGCTTGAGGCCATCATTGAAGTTTGAAGGGCTTAACAAAGCTCTCACCTTGGACTTGAAATCTGTGACCTTTTACTGTGATGACTACATGCTTTACCAATATGTGAGTTTTAGCATTAAACACTCGCCTTTATTGGTCTTCTTTTATTTATTCTCAAATTCACTTTTTAATTGGGTGGGAGTTTGTGTTTATGTGAATGGTAGTAGAGTTGACTGTTGACTGGTGTGCATTGTTTGTTGCATTGCAAATTTGAAATCTTTGGCCGTATGAACTATTGGGTATCTCCTGAAACAGAGGAAAAGAAAAAGATTGTGCATTTGACCATTTTGGAAGTGGGATAGAAATTTTGGGGCTTACTATATGTGGGTTTGTTTGGGAGAACATTATCGGAGATTGAGCAGGAAGATTGTGGTCAACTATGAGAAGTGGGAAAGCCAATTACTAAACATTAATGTGAGTGAGTTGCTGTATTGGTTTTTGGTTCAGTGTTTGGGTTGGGTTAATTGGTTGAAGTGCAATCTAGCAAGTGTATGTCATGTCATTTGTGGCAGTGTTTTGGAGTGTGTTAATTTAGCTTTGTGCAGAAGCTGCAAGGAATAATCCCAAACAACTTGGTATTTGGGAGAATTAACAGTTATCTTGTTAGACCTGTCCTTCTTTCAGTCTGTTGTGTTAAACATTTGCTGAGCTTGCTGCATTTGTGTGACAAAGCCAATTACTAGTATTAATGTGTTAGAGTTTCAAATTTCGGGTTCAGCAATGATTCGGTCATGCAGTTATACTATTTTGTTGCTGTTAGAAATTTGTTAATTATTTTTTGGTGATGTGTTCTGTCAAACTTTGTTGGTTGTATTACAGGATAAATATGTTTTTTTTTCCTATTCCAAAGGATTCAAACTGTATCCAGAAAACCCAATTTCTGTTATTTTTCATTTATTTTCCTCCTTATTGATGGTATAATTCATGTCTTTACAAGTTTGCTGCTCTCATCACTATTCATGTTTATAAAATAAAATATGGGGGCATAACAGAAAATTCCATTTGATGCCACTCATGTAGATGATTGACATCTTATAAATACAGGTCACAAACAGAGTGCGTCCTGGAAACAGCAAGGTTGCAACATTAGTCAATCAAGTGGCTCTTCTACAAAGAAAATTTGAATATTGCAGCCCTTCTCTTGTAGCACGTACTGACATTAAGTTTGCACTTAAAGTTGCAAGAGAGGCTATAGTTTCTCAGATCACTTGGCGTGCAGACTCTAGCAATGGAAAGAGTTTGAAGGAGACTTGTGTAATTTGCTTTGAAGAAACTGATGTTGCGGAAATGTTTTCAATCGATGGCTGTCTACACAGGTATTGCTGTTCTTGTATGAAACAGCATGTGGAAGTAAAGTTTCTTAATGGGATGGGGGCAGAGTGCCCTCATGAAGACTGTAAAAATGAGGTGAATATTGATAGCTGTGCAAAATTCTTGGCACCTAAACTTGTTGAGGCCATAAGCCAAAGAATCAAGGAATCTTCTATTCCAGTTACAGACAAAGTTTATTGCCCAAATCCCAGGTGTTCTGCATTAATGTCTAAAAAGGAGGTCTTAGAATATACCAAAACTACTTTTGTCCATGCTGAGCAAACTGGAGCCAGGAGATGCATGAAATGTCATTACTATTTTTGTATCAATTGCAAGGTCCCTTGGCACTTCAATATGACCTGCTATGATTATAAAAGATCACATCCCTATCCCCACCGAGAAGACCAATTGCTCAACTCACTGGCTACAAAAAAACTCTGGCGTCAGTGCGTAAAGTGCAACCATATGGTTGAACTCGCCGAAGGTTGTTACCACATAACTTGCAGGTATTACTCCCCACTCCTCCATCCTAGTTGACTTGTCTTTTGGTCATTGTTCTGTTGATTTTGTCATCTTTAGATCAAATTAGCAATTTTTTGAGAGGGATGAAACAAGCAAAAGATAAAACAAAATATACAGCTAGTGAACTCAATATGATCTAATTGGTAGCAAGTTGAGTACAAGAGTGGATGTGGCTAAGTATAGTGTTGGGTCTCAAGTTCCTCTGAGTTCTTTTGATTGAAAACCACATTGCCAATGGACCATCAAACCACCAAAAGAGTCAATCTTTGCATGCTGATCTAATTGGCGTTCTCTTTTATGCTTTTGTCAGCAAACATTGGATAAGATCCTAGTCATCTATAAATAGATATCATGGTAGGGCCTTACACTGTCCCCTCAGATAGTTATGGTATTGATGTATTGCCTTTACTAGTTGCAGACCACCTTTTCTATTCTTTTACCCACAAAAAGAACTAGTCTTAATTGTTCTTTTCTGGGTGCTGCTGTTTTTTTTTGGTATACCAATCCTTGTGGTTTGTCTATATGCTTGCATTGTCTTTGTAGATGTGGTTATGAGTTTTGTTATACCTGTGGAGCTGAGTGGAAGAACAAGAAAGCAACATGTTCCTGCCGAATCTGGGATGAGCGTAACATTATACGTGAACAGCCACAACAAGCACAGCTCATTATACGCGAACAGCCACGACAGGCACAGCCCATTATACGCGAACAGCCACGACAGGCACAGCCCATTATACGCGCACAGCCAGGACAGGCACAGCCCATTATACGCGAACAGCCACGACAGGCACAGCCCATTATACGCGCACAGCCACGACAGGCACAGCCCATTATACGCGAACAGCCACGACAGGCACAGCGCATTATACAAGCACAGCCACAACAGGCACAGCCCATTATACGCGAACAGCCACGACAGGCACAGCCCATTATACGCGAACAGCCACGACAAGTACGACGAAGACAATGATCGGGATTACCAAGACTCTTGTTAGACTACAACTAAAGATTTAGGCTATTAGAGTGATCTTTTGCGTTTTGCTTTACTTTGTTTTCTTTGTTATGAAAAAAAGGTGAAGGGTGTTGAAGGACCACAACGTCAGATGCTAAGCTAAAATATTGCCCAGCTTTTTGTAACTTTTGGCACGTTAGTTTTGCATTCCTCTTTTATTTTTTAGGGTATCCCCCTTGACACCATGTGGTATGCTTTCAATTGAACAACCAAATCGTTGGAATTCCTGTCCTTTATTTTTCTAGTAGGAAAGTAGTTGTTGCTGAGTAGTTGTCGCTTAGGCCCGGGTGGGCACGAATTGGATTGGATCATACATAGCGGTTTATAATATTTGAGGTTTGACACCTGTTTATTATTAGTATTGGACACGTGGCACCAAGGCCCTGGCCGTGCCCCTTTTTATATATATATATATATATATATAGTATAGCCGTGCGGCTATACGTTTTAAAATGAAAATTTAATCTGAGAAATTTAATTTTTTAAAAAATATAAAATTAGTTTATTACCTTTTGTTTTTTGGTCTACTTCTTTAATTTAATATATGTAAGTAAGTAATGTTAGCCTTTTTTAATTACTTTAATTAGTAATTATATTTTAAACAACAAATAGAATAAAGAAATTAAATATGGCATTTGCTCCACTAGGATACAACTTTCTAAATCAAAGTCCTAGCACTAGGGCTTTCATTTCTAGCGAAATTGTTGGGTTTATCTATGCGGCTATACAAGAATGATGATATGAATGTTCTCTGCGAATTTATAGGACAAACTCAAAACATTTTTTATAAAATAATTCAAATAATTAATTAACGTTTAATTTAAATCACAGAGCCCAAGAGCCATAAGACCTAACTCAATCATTTTTGGATTCAAGATCCGCTACTTAAAAAGGAGAGGATACATATCATTTTGTGGTTGAGTTACAATAAAAAGTAAGAAGGAATTCTTCCTTAGATCAAGTGCAGCACAATCCCCTAGCCATGGCAACAGGCCCTCGAAGCTCATTTTGGACCTCCGGCTCGCAAAGGGCAACTTGGCAAGGCATGAGACCCACTAGCCCGGGCAAGCCTGAAGGCAATTCTGGACTGGGCTATTCCCGAAGGCTGCTGACGTCAATGCTGACCCACCAGCCCACATAGCCGAAGGTCACAATGGAATCCATATTTAACGTATCTAAGAAGGTGAGCGTGAAATACTGCAAGTACATGGAAAGAACCGATGCAAAGTTCTTTCCTACGACAATACCGATGCAAACAGGTAAACAAATCGTAATGGGCTAAATTAAGTCTATGTTTATTTAAATATAGCATTATCGTATCATTTACAAATAGTCGTATGAAAGTAATACAACTTCACAAACACAATTCAAAAAAATATAGTACGATTTTAAAAATACATTTTGGACTTCAACATATAAAAACAATAATATTGAAGTGATTTTGAATAGTTGATTTGAACTTTATAGTTAATTTGGATGTGTTGAATGATAAATTAATATGAAACTTAATGTTAAAATCTATGATTTTTTTTTTAATGCAAAAAAATATATATATATCAGGGATTTGGGCCAGGTATGGGGGATAATCCCCCGACGGAGACGGGGATTCCCCGAAACCTATTAAACGGGGATGGGTTTGGGGACAAGGGTAAGGATGGAGAGCGGAGACGGGAATGATATTGTCATACCCGGCCCCTATCCGACCCGTTGCCATCCCTATACGAGTGCAACCACAGGGTACTAAACTGTCGTTAATCCTATATTATAACACTCACATTTTTATAACATTTTTTTATTCTTCTAACAAGATAATATACCATCATTGTACATGATTTAGGCAAGAATGCCACTTGCGCTAGTGGTAAAGTGCTATCATTGGGTATTGGAAGTCAAGGGCTTGAATCCCCTTAGCGCATCAATACTCGTATTATTTCATATTTTTTGTCTGATCGATCCTGTTGGGTGAACTGACGAGTTGAAATTTATGAAATTATGAATTAAACTAGTCTTACCAGTTTGGGTCGGTCGGGTTAGTCGAGTTGGTCGATTTTCGGTTGGTTGGTGTGCCCTAATTTCCGCATCCATGTGGCTCAAACGAAGTAAAATTCATTTAAATAGACAGAGCAACCAACCAAGCTATGCATTCTAATAATGCATAACATATGAGCTGAATTGGCCTGTGGCTGTAGGTGTTCAATTATAAAAATACTAGGAGTGAGGACCACCAAACCACCACCAAAATCATTGAGCCCACTACACCACCATACTCTATGGGCCCTATAAAAATCGGTCGCAAGTCTCGTAATCGTGTCATGTGCTACTAATACTTGGGATCTTTTCATGCTCTTCTTCAACCCACAATGATTCTAAGAGTATGGCAAATCTTGCTCACAGTTGTAAATACCAACCATCTACGTGGTTTTGGGATATAGAATTAACATTTCTTTTTTGTCCCTATTGCATCAAGTGTTGCACACAATTGTTGACTTTCTAGGGAAAAAAAAATGTTGTGAACAAAACAACTCAATACAAGTGATTCCCTTCGTGTTTTATTATTATTTTAAAAATAAGTGATAGTTTAGAGAGGGGTCTCACACACACGTTATTGTCTTGGGGTTTCAAACTTAAGACTATTAATCTGTAAGTCAAGACTATTTTTTACTAGACTAGAGCTCGTTGATAGGAACCTCAATGTTTAAATCTAAGTAATGCAGGCTTCCCAATGCAATTAAATTTTGTTAAGGACTTATCATTCGGAGGAACCTCTAAAAACAAGTAGTTGGTAGGAAGAAACCAAGGGTTAGAGTTGACATTTTCAATATCTTGAAATGTAAAGCTCCTGTGCTTTAATGCCTGAAAGATGCACTAAAGGCCATAATTGAATAAAATTTCTTCTGTTATAATGTCATTCTCTATCTTACCCTTTGATTGTTAGATTTAGATGCTTATGGGTGACTGCTAGTATGGTTTTAATTTTTTTTTCCTATTCAAAAGCTGGAGAGGATGGAAAATAAATTCTATTAGAGCATCTCCAGCGCTTCACGGGCTAGGGGGGAAAGGCTGCCCGAGGCAGCCCGAGTTCACTCCAGCGCAGGGCCCGTAGCCCAGTTTGATGGCGGGTCCCACGAGCCCGAGGAAACCCAAGGGCAAATCTTGCCCGGGCTGAAGCCCGAGTTGGTGACGCCAGCGCTGACGTCATCCCCTGACAGCTCCAACGGGCGGGCGCCACGTGGCGCGACGGGGACTCTCCGATGGAATTTTTCCAGAAATCCGACGGTCCTCGTTTTTTTGGCTAAAAAAATCGAAAAAAATCTGAATTTTTTTTTAAAAAATACCCAAAAATTCTGTATTTTTTCTCTATAAATACCTAACCATTTTATTTACTTTCCACACTAAAATCTTCATACAATTTCTTCTCCATCCCATATTTTTTACTCTTTACTCACATTATTCACTTTCCACACCAATTCTTCATACAAACTTTTCTCCTTCCAATTTTTTTGTTCATCTCCACTCACATTTTTCACTTCCACACCAATTCTCCATACAAACTCTTCTCCTTCCAATATTTTTTACTCTCTTTCTACTACTTTCCATTTGTATAAAAAAAAAAACAAATGGCATCTTGTATTGAAGTCGGAGGCTCGTGGTCAACGAATGAAGATATTGCGTTGTGTCAATCTTGGGTGAACATTAGTCATGACCCTATCACGGGTAATGAAATGAAGTTTCATCACATGTGGAGCAAAATTCATGGAGAATTTTGTCAAAGATCGGGTTCGATTCGGACCGAAATGGCGTTGTCTAGTAGATGGAAACTTCTTAATAAAGAGTTAGGGAAATGGAGGAATGCCTTGACAAAATGTTATCTGACATTTGACACGTGGAACAATTATAGAGAGTGAAAATCTTATCTGAAATCTGAGATTAAATTTTTTTTAAAATATCTGAAAATGTTATCTAACATTTGACACGTGGCACAATTTTAAAAGGAATTTTCTTTGAATAATTTTTATTAAAATCTAAAATACTGAAAATTAACTACGAAACTTTAAATGCCGTTTTGGAAGGCCAAACGACCTCAAAATGCCAAAATCCATCATACCTCACAGCAAAGCTGTGTGTTTGACTCGTGGCATCGTTCCCTTTCCGAAATGGTATTTTGCGTCCTAATCGGAGCTCGGACGACAAATCTGCAAATTCCCACTACGTCCTTTTTCTAGCTCAAGCGATAAAATCTGACATTTATTCTACATCAGACGTGGCACAATTTTAGAGGGTGAAAATCTTATCCGAAAATTTAATTACAAAAGATTATCAAAATTAATGGTTTAAACTATAAAAAATAGAAAATAAAGTACAATGAATAGTAATTGCCTTAGACTTGCCATAGACTTTGCCCTTGTGGGTGGAACCACAAATGCAAAGGCTGACACTATTCACGTGAATAGTGGCAGCCCTTGCTTGCCCTTGCCTTAAACTTAGCCCTTGTGGGTGGAGATGCTCTTAGTTTTTTTTTTTTTTTTTTTTTTTTTTTTTTTTTTTTTTTTTCTGAAAATGTTCTAAATGTTCAAAATTCCCTTCAACCTCATTCATCATAAAATAAAACAAAAACGGTAGCTGTTTTTCAAACACCATGTCAAAATTTCCACCTATGTATGGACTGGAGTCTTTTATCACTTTGCAAAAATATAAAAGAATAGTATAAAAAAAAATGCAAAGGCATTTGTCTGACTCCATGAGCCAATGGTAACATGGAAAATGAGGTGGCTGGCTCCATGTACCATATTATTGAAGAAGAGTAAACTTAGCATTTATACCCTAATAAAGGAAGAGCAAACCATATTATGATGATAAATAATAGGCACTATATAATTGTTATTGCAATTAATGTGACTTTTTTTCCGTTAATACAAGCGATATTAAAATTCGAATTTGAACAAAGCACTTTGAGCGAG